CCCTGGGTTGAGGTCTTGAGCACAGCTGCATGCATTTGCACTGTTTGCAAATAAATTTACCAAAATATCATCCTGCATTTATGTAAAAAGATAACCTTTACTGTCAGTAGCAGCAATGATACCTCATCAGTCAAAATCATGGCATTCCAGTCTTAAGCTATAATCAAAAAGACATATATGGGTACCACTTGCCTACATGGAATATAGCATAAATATAAGCAATGCATGACACTATTATTTTGTAACTGACTCACTGTTCCAAGAGCTCTCATTTATGTGTAAACATATTTCATTCCTCTATGGGAACATTAATGTAGGTGTCTAATCTGATTGTTGAGACTTGAATATTTTCTTACTCTCTGTGCAGCCTTACGGAAATCAGCATCTCATCATATTAGGTCTGACATTAATATAGTCACAGTGTAACTCTGTTCAGAAATTGTAAAACTGCATAATCTCACTTCAAAGCTGTGAATGGAGTCATCTTTCCCATGTCAATAGATATCGCTGCTATTACAAGTGTCTCATTCATGCCATTACTTAAAGACAGGATTTTCAACTTTCCCCCACAGTAGTGATTTTACGGCCAAATGAATTTTGCCTCATGCAACACAAAACTTACACATTATTAATATTGGTATGTATAGTTGCATATATATTTATGTATGCATATTGAAAATGCAAAAGCTCTGAGCTATACTGATAGATACATGAAAAACAAACTGAAAAATTCCTTGCTCTTACTCAAAATCAGTTTGCATTGTATTACTAATTTGGCTCTTGAGACTCTGAGCATAATGAATGCATTTTCATGTCTCAAAACATCCTTAAATATTAAATGTTCACTAGGCATTTCCTGGTTAACTATTTTGCTTAATAAATCAATACATGGAGTAGGACAGCTCTACTGGGCATGACATTAGTATTTCTCTTGCCTTTGAATTACATTCCATGCAGAGGTAATGTTTTCTTCCTTCCTAACTTTCCTCCAGTTGTAGAACTCAATTTTCAGGTTCCAGTGATTTCATCACAAAAAACAATACAGCTTTGACAATAAGGTTTTATTAACCTTTATTGTTTTAAAGCCTACATCTGAGATGAAATTCCACAGTGTTAACTGTCAAAGGTTAAAAAAAATGATTGCTGCTTGTAGAGAGTATCTGAAAGATATTCAGTTGTATTTTCTCATAATCCACTCAATACTAAAGGAAAAAGCAGGCTTACAGTAAGGGAAAGCAGAAAACTTCTAAAAACAAATCCATGGTGCAGTTATTTTCCATTTTCTCAGAAACTAGACCTCAATTTAAAGGGGAAAGATTTGTATTTAAACAGTTTTCTCTTGCCTACTCTATGTAAATTTGGCCAGTAGTTTAGATTTCTAAAACTAAATAGCAGTCTTGCACTTTATTATGGAGGAGATGAATGACAGGTCAGCAGGAGTTTCTTCCTGCAGAAGAATCTGAACCACACTGAACTTCCATGAAATGAGAGCACAACCACTAGTTTTAAAAATCAACAATTTGATGGGTCAGCGCCTCAGGGAGGTAATGACCTGTATCTCATAAAGCAGGTTGACCTGTTTCCTACATATTTTGCTGAAAATTCACCAGTGAACCCTTTCATAAGGCTAGCCAAAGGTTGCAAAAAGGTGTTTCTTTCAACCTAGCATGATAACCTAGAATTCTCCTCAAAAAATAAATTTTTGCCTCCATTTTTATAAGACATAGCCACAAGACAAGGTCCAGGGATGCACGATCAAGAAGGTCAGAAGGGTTAATGAAGCCAGGAGAGCAGCTACTGAGCTCTTTCTAGAAGGGAAGTCTTGGGCCAAAGCCTCTGATTATGTCAACTAAAGTTTTATGAAAAGTGAACATAAAAAATAATAATAATAAGGCATAATTATAGGCTGTGATGGAGCCCAGACCTGCTGTGCTATGTTTTACCATACATCATGCAACTCACAGCAGCTCAGGAATTTCACTGGATTTAGATTGGGAATGTTAATCTTCTTATCAATGCCAAGATATCAGTATTCTGTGCACTATTTGGGCATTTTCATCTGCAAATTATTGTTGCCCTAGAGCAGAATAGAGGCAATCTCTGCAGCCAGAGAAAATGTGCTGCAGTCTGCACACAGGATGTGATCTCTCTGCCACATATCACAGTTGCAAGGGGGGGAAAGACAGTCTTGTTTCCAGTCAAACCATCATCAGAGTTCCCACTGATGGCAGCAGCACCAACCTTCAGCTCAGCTGAAGAAAAAAAATGAAAAAAACCTTACCAGTGATACAAGACTTAATTACAAAAGTCATGAAGTGTACATTGATAATATTTGATTTGCAAAATTCAGTTACCCTTATCACAAGCAATGGCTTCTATGGTTTGGTTCTCTTCCATTATAAGACAAAAAAAAAAAATAAGTTCCATGTGTATTTCTTTGTTCTGTTAATCCAAAGTAAATAAATAAAGGTTCTTATGCTCATTAACTTCATTTTCTTTTTTAAATATCAGCTTCTACTTCACTGATTCAGTGATACAGTATGTAAATGAGGCATAAAATGAAAAATCCTTGCCTTCCCAGTGGGACACCACTCACGCTTACTTGCAGAGTGCCAGGTTAAACTACCTACTGCCAGAAAGAGACACACAGGCTACCTAGGGCTGGGAAGAACTGTAATCAGAATAAGGCTCAGAGGACACAGCAAAGGATGCTCTTCTCCCATTTGCTGTTTGTACCAGGGCTGATCACAAAAGCAGGGCCTGCAGGCAAGAACTGCTCAATGTTCTTTTTAAACCTTGTGAAAGAAGAAAAAGAACATAAGGACACTGGCCCGTAAACCCTCTGCCACAGTTAGCAGATATTGATGGGATGTTGACCTTTCACTTCTTCTGTGCTAGGAGCTCTGGGAAAAATCATATGACATAAGCACATGACCAAAGACCTCTCTGAATCTACCTCTGGTTTAAGCCATTAAGGCCAAGGCCATACATAGACTATAAGCTTTCTCAGAAAATAATAAATAAATAAATAAATAATAATTTTAAAAAAAAAAGAAATAGTGAAATAGTTGAAGGTTAGTTACTTTGAACAAAGTGTGCCATTTCAATGAGACCTATGTAGCTGGCGTCTTTCTAAGTGGAGTGCAAAGCTGAGCTTCTTCGGTAATTTGTACCAATGCAAGAATTATTCCATTGTTTCTATCATTATGGTTTAAAATCTCCCTTGCTGTTCTAATCATTAATATGATTAAAAGTAAAGCAATGTCTGAATGATTTCTTATATCAGAATTGAACTGTTTTGACAAATACAAAAATAATAAATAAATAAAATACAAATTTTAAAAATCCTGGAGGGGACAGGAAGCCTTTTCTAAACTTCTAGATGCAGCAAGTACAGTAGGGAATGGCCCTTGTGAGGAGATGCCCTGAGTATCTATATAGACCAAATAAGAAGTTTTGTTACCATCTAAAAAATGGTCATATGTGGTGAACGTCCATTAAGCAGTAATGCTTTTTGGAATACATGCATGTGGTGGTTTTACCGTGCTGGGCAGCTAAACCCCACAACCGCTCTCTCACTCCCCCTCCTTTAGATGAGGAGGGGGAGAAGTAAAGCAAAGAACAACTCACGGGTTGAGATAAGGATAATTTAATTAAAGGGAAATAATTATAATAATTAAATAAAGACTACCATGAACTAAACAATTTAACTAAGGGGAAATAAAAAGGGAAAGGGGAAAAGGGAAAATAAAAGAAGGGAGGAAAACAACAAACAAAATAAATGAAAGCTATATGGAAGTGCAGAGGAAAGAAATTACTCTCTACTTCCCACAAATGAGCGATGATTGACCACGTCCTTGAAGCAGGGCCTCAACGCACGCAGCCGGTGTTGAGAGGAGGACCAACGTCTTCTCAACGAGAGCCCACCCCTCCCCTCTTCTTCCTGTTTCCACTTTTTATTGCTGAGTGTGACATCACATGGTATGGAATATCCCTTTGATTGGTTTAGGTCAGCTGCCCTAGTGATGTTTCTCTCCTCACTTTTTGCCCATCCCTTAGGAGGGTTAGAGAAAGGCCCAATGTTGTGCCACTGCTGCTCAGCAATAGACACAACACTGGTGTGATAACACTGCTGTTCCAGCTACAAGTACAGAGTACGGCACTGTATGGGCTGCTGCCGGGAAAGTTAACATTCAAGCCAGACCCAGTACAATGCAACATACTCTAACTTTTGCTGCCTCTAGTTATAGGTAAAATTAGAAGTTGTCACTTAAACAAGGGGGCATTGGAATGCAAATACAAAACTCCAAGTACATTTCTGGAATACCTGTTGATGGGAGGGAGGGAGGAAGGGAGGGAGGAAGGAAGGAAGAAAGGAATTTATAATATAATAACATATAAAAATTGTTTAATTAATAAGATTAAATAATAATCATTATAATTTTATAATAATAAAACAATGCCATACTGTACAACACAGTCAATAAAGTGGATTTAATGAAATAAAAATAAAACCCATTTTTCCCATTCCAATGAATTCCTATCCCCATCATCACTTCCCATCCCACTGATCATTTCCTATCCCAACAACGTCCCAGTTCTGATCCCAAGGCTGAATTCCCAACTCCCACCCACCCATCCAGCCAGCCATGCACCCATTTTCTGCCGTCTGTGCTGGCCATGCCCACATCCATGCCCGGCCTGAGCATGGGCAGCGGGAGCGGGCTGCATGAAATAACTGAACATGAAATTATGAAATAACATTAAATAATAAATAAGGTAACTTAATTGTTGCTGTTTTTAACATTGCTTCATGACAATAGATGCAAACATGTATCTTAAGTTGAGGGCAAAGGTGACCTTGGATCTGAAGCACACAGGCGTTCGCTAATGTCCCCCCATCCGGAGTGAATCCACAATGACTCAGAAGGAAAAATTAAGTCCAAACCAGTGCGCTGTGATAAAGAGAGTTTAATGGGGTAGAAAAGGAATAAAAACAAACAAAATAATAAATGAAAATATTGATACTTTATAATGTATAAAATATATAAATATTGTTTAATTAATAATATTAAATACTTATAATTTTATAATAATAAAACAACACCATACTGTACAACACAGTCAATAAAGTGGATTTAATTAAATAAATAATAAAACCAGTAAATTAAATAAAATTTAAAAATTTAAATTTAATAAAAATAAAACCCATTTTTCCCATCCCAATGAGTTCCTATCCCCATCATCACTTCCCATCCCACTGATCATTTCCTCTCCCAAAATCCTCCCAGTTCTTATCCCCTCGGTATCCCAGTGCAAGAAGAGCTGCAGGCAGAGGCCTTGCTGAGTGACCACCTAAGGAGAGGAATGTAATCCAGAAGGCAGGAAAGAAGAGCAATGCCCCGAAAGAAGGGCTAAGTCTTGTCTCTCAGCCCTTTGGTGTCCCAAGCAGCAGTTGCCACAGGCAAGCTTTCCCAGCCCAGCTGCTGCCAGCATCCCCCCAGCTTGCCATTGCCACCTTCCTGGGTGAGGCGCGCGCACGTTTGCCATTGGCATTTGCCGTTGCCCATCCCTGAGAGTGGCAAGCAGTGCGTAGGTCCAGCACGAGAGAGGGGAGAGGCCAAGCGAGAGGGGCAAGGGCTCAGGAGCGTGGCTGCAGCTGGAGCAGGTGCCTGCAGAGGTCTCTGTGCCTGCGTGCTGAGCGGGCCTGGGTGCTGCAGGGGCCGTCGAGGAGAAGCCCGAGGTCGGTCACGGGTAGCCGTAAGAGTAGGCTCTGGCGTGGTCCTTCTGCCGCTGCTCGAAGAATTGCACGGGGCCGATCTTCATGTGGTGGGCTGCCCGCTGCCGCTCCTCCTGGGCCAGCTTCTTGAGGCGCTCCCGCTCGGGACGCTGCTGCGGCGTGATGGGCACCGACGACTCCTGCTCCTCCAGCGGTGTGGGCGCTGCGTCGCTGCCCGCCCAGGGCCCCACGCAGGGCATGTAGTCCCCGCGGGGCTGCGCCGGACGCTGCGCTTGGCCCCCCGCAGCTGGCAGGCCCAGCACTCTGGGCGCCTGCTTGAGGGGAGCTTTGCGTGCTGGCGCCGTGCTGCCTGGTGGTGCCGGCAGCGCCTGGGCCTTGTGGCCAGCTGGGGGCCGGGGGGCAGCGGGCACAGCGCTGGAGCCTGGCAGCGTCGGCGGGGCCGTGGGCATGCTGCTGGGGCCGCTGGAGGTGGGCTGCGGCTGCACACAGGGCGGCTGGCGCACTGGCCCCAGCGCCTTGGCCCTGGCCCCCAGTGGCTGAAAAGTCTCGCTGGGGGTCTTTGTCCCCGGCTGCTGGCACTGCAGCATCTTGGCCCCGCTGGCTTGGGGCCGGAGCCTGCCCTGGGGCCGCACGGCATGGGCATGGGCACGGAGCTTCATGGGGAGGGCCTCTGGCAGCAGCAGCGCTCTGCGGAGAGGCAGCACCGCTGCTCCTTGCCCCCCAGCAGCCCCCAGGCTTCGGGCTCTCTTGCTGGGCGCCCTGGTGCTGTCGCTCGCCAGCTGCTGCCTGCCGCTGCCCGCTTGGCTGCTGCTGCCAGCCAGCGCGCCGTGGCCACGTGTCTTACCCTGGTGCAGCGTCTTGGGGCCTTGGCCAGCCTGGCCCAGCAGCAGCAGCGTCTTCTCCTTGCCGGGGGTCTTGTCTGTCCTCAGCCTCCTGTGCTGGGAGCTCTGCGCTGTGCTGGGGGTGCTGGTGGGCACGGGGCGCTTGGCCCCCCACTTGGTGCCGGTGGGAGCAGGGGCAGGCGGGGGGCTCTGGAGGGGACTGCGAGGGGGACTGGGCAGGGCTCTCCTCAGGGCTGGGAGAAGTTGAGGCCTCTTGAGGGGAGCCAAGGGAGGCCGGGGCAGGGTTCTCTTGCGGGCGGGGACGAACTCCTGCTGGGGAGGCCTTTTGGGGAGAGGCTTGGGCAGGGGTCTCCTGCAGACAGGGTCGGGGGGGCTCTGGAGGGGACTCAAGCGAGGCTTGGGCAGGGCTCTCCTGAGGGCAGTGAGGAAGTCAGGGTCGGGGGGGCTCTGGACGGGAGCCTGGGGAGGCAGGGGCAGGGGTCTCTTGCGGGCAGGGAGGCAGTCAGGGTTGGGGGGCCTCTTGAGGGGAGCCAAGGGAGGCTGGGGCAGGGTTCTCCTGCGGGCAGGGATGAATTCCTGCTGGGGGGCTCTTTTGGGCAGGGCTCTCCTGAGCTGGGGCCGGGCTGCAGGCTTGAGGGGGGAGCTAAGTGGCGGCACAGCAGCTGCAGGGGGCTGCAGCGCCCGCCCAGCCTGCACCTTGTCAGGGTGCAGCCCAGGGCTTGAGGGGACCTCACCCAGCGCTCTGGTGGCTGCCAGTCCGTGTGTGCTCGGCTCCTCGATGTCCTCACAGAGGTCGGGCAGCTGCGAGAGGAAGCGCTTGAGGACAGGACTGCTGGGGACAGCGGTGAAGGCATCCTGAGGCTCCACGGCATCAAGGCAGCTGAGCAGCTCCTCCAAGCCGGAGCTGTCCAGGTCGGCCGGGAGCTGGTCCTGCAGGTGCTGCAGCTGCTGGCTGTCCCCTGCCAGCTGGGGAAAGGCCTCGGCGAAGGCATCGGGGCCCAGCTCCAGCAGCTCCAGGGGCTCCTCAGGCACCTCTGCAAGTGTCGCCGCTGAGGAAAAAGCAAGCCAATGCAATCCCCCAGGCATCCCCCGATGCCAGCTTTGCCATGGCTCCTGGGTGTGGGGTGCCCAGCGGCCGGCTGGGCCAGCCCCAAACTCACCATCGGGCGTCAGCGTCTGGGTGCTGGCGGTCGCTGGAGCCTGGGCAGGCTCGGGGGGAGTGGGGCCGGGCAGCGGGGGCCCCTGGTCCTCGCTGAGCCCCACGGCATGCAAGCAGGGCTCCGGCAGCTGCCCCCGGCTGCTGCTCAGGGTGCGGGGCGCGGGGAGCACCTGCCCCTGCAGCGGATGCCCCGGGACGAGGAGTGGGGGGGGGCCGGGGTAGGCAGGGGCCTGCAGCAGGCAGGTGCCTGCGGGGTGCAGGAGCTCCCCATGGAGCACGGCCCTGGGCCCCAAGCAGAGGGGAGCACCATCCTGGGGCACCAGTGTCCCCATCAGCAGGGGCTGGGAGACACTGGGGGCACCCACAGGAGCGGTGTGGAAGAGCTGCCCCACAGCAGGGAGCTGCCCAAGCTGCAGGTGGCGCCCCTCAGCTGGGAGGTGCCCCCCAGGTGGCAGCTGCACCCTGGCGGGGAGCTGCTGCACCTGCCCCTGGACCCCCGGCACCATGTGCCAGACAGTGGCCTGGGGCAGTGCGGAGGGGAGGGTGGGTACCTGGGGTGGCTGCAAGGGCAACGCCATCGCTCCGGGGAGGGAGGGAAGCAGCCAGGCAGCCACCGTTGGCGGCACGGCTGGGACGACGAAGGGGGAGTTTTGTGTCTGCGGAAGCCGCGGAAGCCGTCTGGGGAAACCCTCTGTGGGAAAAAGGGCGCTGGGCTGAGCTCTGGGGCGCTGGGCTCGCCAGCAGGGCCGCAGCCCCGGGAGGAGCGGGAGCCGGCTGCTGTACCTGCCATGGTGGCTGGAGAGTGGGGCGGTTGCTTGGGGAACGCGGGCAACGGGGGTTCCGTCCCAACGGCTGAGCAGCCCCTCGCCGACATCTTGGGGAGGACTGCAGGCTTTGGAGCCAAGCAGGCTGCCCAGCGCAAGACTTGGCCATCCCCAGCAGGCTTGCCCTCCCACGCAGCACTTGCCATGCCCAGGATGCTTCCACACCACCACTTGCCCGGCCCAAGGCTTGCCCAGCCCAGGACCAGCTTCTCGGCCTCAGCGGCAGTGCCCATCCTTGCCATTTCACCGCATGGCACATTCGCAGCAACCCAGACGAAATCTGCCCCATCAACACGAAGCGTTTCTTCAGCCAAAGAGACCTCGTCCCAAAGAATTCCCCTCTCTTGGAGGACTTTGCCAAGCACTTCCTTCCCCAGGGAATGGTACCCACCCCATTCAAGACTTCCCATCCCAAGGCTTTTGCTTCCCAGGGATTTCCTTCCTAGGGAACATTGCCCTTCTCTCTCATTTCCTAGCCCAATGGCTTCCCACCCCAAGGAAGTCTTCCCATGCTGTAGCCCCGAAATGCCCCCAGAGGGCACCTGGCAGCTACTGGGAAGGAAATGAGCTCTGTCATGGTGAGCTAGCCGCTCAAGGCCCTGCTCTTTGGCCCAGGTGTCTGTGAGGCGGTGTTGGCAAGGAGTCCTGTTGTGAACATAAGAACATAACATAACATAAGAACATAAAATAACATAAGATAGAAAAAAATATATAATAACAGAACGCGACATAAGAACATAAAACAAAGACAACTATCATGATGTCATCTGATAGGATGTAGGAGAAAGCAGAAATCCAGCAATGCTGTCTTTCCTACTCCTCAAAACCAATTCCGTTGACAACTAGGAATGCTTCCAGCTGGAAAAAAACGGAAGAATGAAGTGGAGGACTCCTTGCCATCACTGTGTTTCTGGAGCACACCTCTACCTTTCTGTCCAACAGGGGGTTCTTCTTGGGAGATAATTGCCCAACATGAAAAAACACAACCAAAGCCAGAGGACCCATCTCCTCAACAACATGATAAATAGAAAAGACATCTCTAGATGCAGACCCCAGAGCTCCAATTCACTATGTCCCACTAGTGGAAGTTATTTTTTATGCTTTGTTTTTAAGGCCACTGGCTGCCTCCTCCCTTATGCTGCCCATTCTCCCTGTTGTCCTGTCTTCTTTCTCTTGCATTGCTTCCTTTCCTTGGTGGACCTTGCTGAGCTCTTTGATGGTTTGTTGTATATATATGTATGAAGACATAAAACTGTTAGAGAGTGTTGAAAGAAGGGCAACAAACAAGAGGGTCTCTTTTAACAGGGGTATTGAGGTTTGTGGCAAGGTTTTGGTAGCAATTGAGGGGCTGCACTGTGCTGGACACAGCAACAGACGCACCATAAGCCAAAGTCAGACGATAAGCCAAGGTGTGCTGCCTCTAAGAATGCACAGAAAATATTGGATGGAGAGAGCTGGGGAGAACAAAAAGAATGAGGAACAACAGAGGGAACATCAAGGTCATAGGAGGAGGAGAAGTAGATGCTCCATGGTGGAGCAGATAGTCTTTGAAACCTGTGCAGGATCCATGGCAGAAGAGCTGAATATTCCTGACAGGGACTGCAGCCTGTGGAGGACCCCCACTGGAGCAAAGTAGAAACAACAAGAAAGGATCGGCAGAGAAGAACTGCTGCATATTCACCACAGCCTCCTCCTGTGCTGCCCATTTCCCCAGTGAATGGGCTGAGTGAGATCAGCAGGTCAAATGGGTGCTTGGAGTGAAGTTGAGCCCAGAAGAGGAGGAAAAGTGTTACCCCTGTGTGGTTTGATGTTTGTCCTTTTGCTTCCCAACACCTGAACTAGGAATAAAATTTATACACATTAGTTGGCATTACAATAATTTCCTCAAGTTGAGAGAGTTTTTCCCACAACAGTCATTGATAAGCAATATCCCTGTCTTTATCAAAGCCCATGAGCTTTCTCGTTCCCTTTTTTTTCCCTAATTTTATCCCCTGTCCTGCTGAGGTGGGCAGGGAGTGAGCAGGTTGTAACCATCCAACAGAATTCTGGTACATCCAACAGAAGCTCTAACACATTCTTCATTGGAGAAGTAGACTTTGAAATGCCAAACACCTTTAAATCTATAGATATTATTTAGATATCACATGTTGTTAATTTTTACAAGTAATATTGCATGTTGTTAATTTTTCTAACATCTAGGCTATACATTCAAAATCAGTTATCTAATGAAGTCTATTTATTAAAACATATATAAAAATATATATAACACATATTGTGTTGTAAAGCACACAATTCCCTACCAATGACAACCAAAAAATCATCTAATTGAGCATGCAGTTTTCATTAACCTGTTTTTTTGTTGTTTTGTTTTTTTTTTACAAATACCCAACAACACATACACGTGTTGTGTTGTGGTTTTTTTCATCATTTCTCACTGAAGCAATACCCATCCCGTATCAGATCTGTGTCATTACTCTAATTTTTGTTCCTAATGTACTTGAAAAACTTCTTACCTCTATTGACTGCAACAGTGGATTTTTTTCCTTTCGATCTTAACTCCATTTATCAATTACTTATTCTCTTAAATTCCTGCTTTTAAGAGATGGTTAGGTATTCACCATCTCTCACTATTATTTATAGCTTTTCTTTTCTTTTTCAGTAGTTCAGCCCCAGTCAACTCGGAGGTGGGGAGCAGCAGCTTCTATGGAGCTCCTATGCTGAAAAAAAAAAAAAAAAGTTTAGCCTTGAGGGAAAAGGAAGGTGGGAGAGCCAGATGGGGCAAGAGGAAGGGAGGTGGTTTGACCAGGACACCTTGAGGGTCTGGGAAGAGAAGAAATGGATGGGTGCTTAAGAAATGAGCAGCATCACAGCCTACATACGGAAGAATTGTGACGAGCAGTTTAGAAATGTGAGCGATTGGTGGTCTTGTGTTGATCGGCAGCTGTGCTCCATGGTTATAGCTGTAATTTCAGCAGTTTACTGTGTAAGCCGCATGTTGCCACTTCATTGATCAAGGCAATGCTGTTCAGTTGCAGGGAAGAGGGGCAAGACTCAGGGAAGAAACGGAACGGAGAAAACTGTACAGTGTGGAGATGCACACGTAGCCATAAAATCAGTGCTGGACAGAAAGAGAGAAAGAGAGACAGACTGACAGACAGACAGACAGAACGAAAGAAGGGAAGGAAGGAAGGAAGGAAGGAAGGAAGGAAGGAAGGAAGGAAGGAAGGAAGGAAGGAAGGAAGGAAGGAAGGAAGGAAGGAAGGAAGGAAGGAAGGAAGGAAGGAAGGAAGGAAGGAAGGAGGGAAGGAAGGAGGGAAGGAAGGAAGGAGGGAAGGAAGGAAGGAGGGAAGGGCTATTACAGAATTCATTTCATGTTTCGAGATCTGGCCATACATAAAAACACAATAGGCTCTGTTCAATAAAGACAAAGGAAGAAGAAGCACTTTGTTAAAGACATGACTGGATGAAGCAGTGTTCTGCATTTACCAGTGTTTGTAACTCTGTCTTGCAGAGTAGCAGCATGTTCCTCCTGAATTAATATGGTGACTGCTGAACTTTTATAGTTCAAGCATTTTTATTTTTGATTTTAACTCTTTCTTATTTCCATTTGAGTGTTTTGGAGTGTTTGACTTAACACATCGCACTGTATCTCAGGAAGCACAGAACAGGGATGGGTGTAAGTGTTATATGCACTCTAGCATACTCTAGTGGTAAGGCCTCATTGTGACTTTGTAGTCAAGAGATGACTGAACAATGGAGCTCTGCAGGTGCTTGGAAACACATCCAAGACATATTTGAAACTTCATTTAAATACAGTTTGCATAACCATGTCTACAGAGACAAATAACAAAACAGGAACAACCTATCTGAATGCACTCAATGAATTCCCACTCAGTTGCACAGGCACATATTGTTATTCATAGGAATGTCACAGAAATAACTGGAATTACAGTTTAGATCAGGTCAGAATAGAAGGAGTTTATTACTACAGCTATAGGAGAGGACAGAGAGCAGCAGAATGACAGGCTCCACCCAAATGGGACAGAGCTTATATACCTTGAGATTGTAAAACCTGTCCTTTGCCAAAACTGGGTTAGATAAGCAGGACACGATAAACAACAACAGCGACTGAAATCCTTCAGATAAGAAGGCTCTAGGCAGCACATCCTTTTACAAATAATCCAATCCTTTGTTAATTAAATTATGCTGACTGGCATGTCAAAAATGTTTTTTAAACTAGTGAGGCCTGTGAAGGCCTATGTGATGCTAAATATTTTGCTTCTGCAGGAAGCTGACTGAGATAGTGGATATCCTGTTTGGTATTATAATTTGCTTAAAAACCTAACCAATGGCTTTGATCCCCCAGTGATTTCTGTCCTACATGGCTCTGTGGTATAAAAGCAAGCAATGCATTTCCCAGGGCAATGGAGAGGAGAGCTGGATAAACCCTATACCAATGCCCCTCTGAGTTTTGCTCCTCTATGCCATCTCTGTCTGCAGGACACTGAATAAGGATGTCAGGTCTGTGCCACAGATAACTGACACTTTAGGGAAACTCTGTCTGTCCAAGAACCATGAATCAAATTCACTCTTGCCCTCCAAAGACTAGCAATTGGCATCTTTCAGATACAGAGCATGGCTTCCATTCAGATGTTGCCTGAGCTTTGGAGGAATATATTGCCAGTTTTTTCTCCACAAGGAAAGCAATGTCAGTTTCCATTTCACTAAAAGAAGCTGTACTTCTCATAGAAACCCATGGCTCCAGGAGATTTTTAAAAGAGCAGATTTTACAGGCTTGATAATATTATTTCCAAAAGTAATAGGCAACTTAAAAGAACTACTTAAACTGTGCTAAGTTGAACTGTAGATATCACTTACTTTTTAGTACAGCATCTAAATAAAAAGGAGATTGAAAAAAAGAAGATAAACTTAAGGAAAAACAATTGATAAATAGAAGTTTAACTCTTGACTTTTGTAAAATTACATATTAGCACCTTTCAAGAGAGAAACGTGTCAAAATTGAAATGTGAAAATGTTCATTTTTGAAATAAATTTATTTTTTGCATTTTTTTTGTGTAGCTTTTTTCATTTAGATATTATTGTTATTATTATGGGATATTTTTCAAATGAAACTATTAATATCTGTTAATTTCAAGATACTGCCAGTACACTGATATGTTTTTTTTTGTTTGTTTGTTTTTTAATCTCAAGAATTGCCTTTAAAGTGCACCTCATCCCTATGCAGGAAGTATGGCAATAGGTGTGAGTTTTGCCAGTGCAGCAAATACTAATAATATTGCAATAGATTTCTGTCTACTGGTATTTTGCTCAACAACCTGCTTTATTCTTGTCTAATTAGTTTTACAGCACAGTTTTGTTTTGTTTCCTATTTTACGGAGTATTTAAGAAAAATATGCATAGATTTACATTTTTAGTATAGATCTGGAAAATATTTTAAAGCACTTTGAAGACGATTTCCAAAAAATGATGAACTGAACGAGCTTTGCTAACATATACTCTTCATATCTATCATCAAAGGTTCCCAGCTTGGCACTGCAATCACATTGTGTCCTTGGAGGCTGGGAAAAGTGGGGTGGAGAGGAAATGTAGGTAACCAGAAAATCCAATATGTTTCTGAAAACACTCTTCAGAGAAAGTTAGTTTCTTGCTGTCATTGATTTTAAGTAATTTAGTGCTGGTGAAAGGTGAGAGCTGAAGAAAAGTAGACAAACAGGGAGCAGTTTGGATATAGCAGCCCTCTGACTAGCTTATGGTAGTCTCTGTGCAGGGACTTCAGGGGTGGACAGAGGCTCAGGGAATTTTCCTGTGCCTGCAGGAAGGAAGGGGACCTTCCACCTAGGCCTCCCATCTTGGCTTTTGCCAGCTAGCTCTTACCTGATGGCACTACACTTCTTTGGAACACACGTGCTTTTGGAGAGAGAGGCTTGTTCTTATAAAGCATTTTTTCAAAGTACAGAGATTCTGATTACAGTTGAGGCCCACAGATAATATTGAAAAATAATTATTGCCCTGGAAATACCATTTAGTCTTAGGAAATCAGTTTTTTATCAGGTGTTTCAAAAACATCTTAGATCTTTTTAAGAAACAACCACTACAAACACACACACACAAACACACACAAAGGCTAGAAAAAAACTCTCCAAAAACAGTTTACAATGATGTGCAATAGAAGTTATGGAGCTCAAGTCCTTGACCTCCCATTTAGTTTCTGTATTATTTATACAGCTATATTCCCAATATTTATTCTATCTATATCAAAATGACATCACATGCCCTTTTCTGTTACAAATTGGACTTAACTCAAAGCTTTCAGCTTCAAACCATTCTGAACAGTGGGAGGACATATTGATTCCTGTAAGCCAGGATATCAGGTTTTCACCTCTTCAATGTGTTACTTAGAGAAATGCAAAGTAAAGGGAACTGTCTAAATGACTTTAAAATGCAGACTGTGTATCAAAATAAGTAATACAAGATACTTTAATAAATAGATATAAAGCTCTTGAAATTCCTATTTTCAAAAGACATGACAGAAAACTACCTAACCTCTCAAAGCGGCAATTTCATACTAGTGGTTTCACAGCCATCTGCTTCTAGAGAGAACAGTGCATCAAAGTTCAGATTCAGCCTCCACCCTGAACTGAAAGCTGATGCTTTTGAGTAAACACCATCATCCAAAATATGTCCAGAGCAATAAAGTTAGGGAAAGGAAGGGTGGGAAACTCTGCAGATGAACCATCCCTCCAGTTGTGATGATTCATGGTTTTGTCTTGAATATATTGTTCTCATCTGACACTGCCTTCAGACTGGCCTTGGGTTTCAGTGGCTACAAATTATAAATCACCTGTACATGATCTGTTTATAGTTTAGCAAACTGTCATGGCTATAGTAAGACCAGGAAGAACAAGAAAAGTATGGAGAAAAAAAAAAAAAAAATGATTCAGAGATTGTCAACATACGGTCACAGAAAAATAACTATGCTGGTTTCCTAGTAAAAGAAAGGAAGGTTCATAAATGAGAAGACAGAAGTTGTTTCACTTCAGAAGTTACAGGGGCTGAAAGTGACAAATTTACAGATCTCTGTATACAAATTAAGTACTGTTTCAAACAGTGTAATCAAGAACCACTCTGCATAATATAATATAATTATTGGTAATCAGAGATGTACAGAGGGCAAAATGGCTGTTTCACTGAAGTGCTGAGATTTCAAAATGTATATTCATTCAAGCTCTAAGTGAAGACTGAAGCCTTCAGAATTCTTAAAGCAAAAACAAAAAAATGTCTGGGAACATATTGCTAATATCTAGTAGAAAAACAAAAACAAAAAGAACATGAAATTACACTTCAAAATGTGAAAACAAAGTGTTGCATTATTTTGATGTTGCTGCAGCTCTTGGCATTCATACTAAACAAAATTTCAACAAATGCAACATACATTTTTATTTTTTGTTATTGGCAATGGAATATTGCCCCAACCAAGTTTCTGCAAATAGTTCTGCTACAGGGTTAGAAATCATAACCTCAAACTAAATTCAACAATTTTGTCACATCCTACTGTCTTTTAATGGTTCTCAGTAAAAGGAACACCAGTAAGTCAATCAATTACTGTATATGTGGCATATAAACCACGTATAAAAAGTAAACTGATTTTAAATAATGGAAAAAAATATGCAAATCCAAACAAGAAATAACAGGATAGGTCTTTAGATCCGCCACAGTTTAACTGATGAAGGTGTAAAGGAATAATAAAACTGTCCTCCACCAAACCTGAGGACTTGGTTTTTAGATCATCTTCTGAGCTATTGGAATTATCCAATGGAATTAAGCAATGACCCAACAACATGCTAATCATCTTTCCACTCCCTGTCAGCATTCTCTTTTCCTACCTGTGCTCACCACACCCTCCTGATTACTTTCCTAGACAAAGAAAATCTCATTTGTATATGTGCCAGTTAAGTTTTTACTCCCTTGTCACTACCAAGCTGCTACAAAAACAAACAAACAAACAAGAGAAACCAAGAGTTTTTTCACACTGTTCTTTAAAATTCAGCAACTATACAAACATTTCAGCATTTCACATTGTCCTAGAAACTTTACTGTTAATAGACAGAGTCATGATATTAAGCATAGATGATGCTGATTTCTTAGCATTATCTGCTGTATGAAACTCAAGAGCACCAGAAGCTCAGCTTTCACACCATTCATTCTTTTTCTTATTGTTATGGGGAAGGAAGAAGAGAAAGTGGAGCAGATTTCAAGTCCTGAATATAAAAATATATGATCATTACAGCTTTATGGGATAACATGATCTTTGACTGCATTGGAACACATTAAGAATTCATTAATAACATGATAGCTGCAGCTTGTTTTTTTTGTTTAAAAAAAAAAAAAAAAAACAAGCATGGAAAAGTATTATTAGCTTTAAAGGTAAAATAGCATAAAAGTCATCACCAATGTTCTTGGTCTTCAATATACCAATACATATAATTTGTTTCCTAAAGAGCTATTTAAATGTCTATTGGATCCCAAAATTACACAATTAGCTGGGATGTCATAAGACTGTTGAATCAAAACAAATACACAACTTTATTTAGGCTGCTTCTTTACACAAATGATAAACCAAATACAAAGATATCACATTAAAAGGAGCACTCCTGTTACAAAGTAAATTGGGGGGAAAAAAAATGTTAGCCAACAGAAGCTTTAAAATGAGTGCAACACCAAGAGGGTGTCAGAGGTGCTTTGGTGACAGGGAGATAAAGGCATTATCATATACTCCCCTTAATATTCCTCTTCCTGCCCCCTGCTTCCTGCCAAACAACTTTAGAAGTTTTTTTTTTTTTTTTTTTTTTTTTTTTTTCTGTGATGTTGGCTATTTCCTCCATATCCCCCCTGATTTTGAGTCCTTTCTTTTTTCACGCCTTCTCTGTCATCTCAGTTCTTGCTGTTTTCCAGTAGGTCAAGCCCAGTCCTAGCTCACCATTTACACTTGCCTTGGTCACTTACCTCCAGTATACAACGTATGTACCTACATAAACACAATTCTAGAAAATAATATACTAGAAGAAAACAAAACTCAAGTTTCAGCAAACTAGACCAATAGAATTCTTCCTTCTCTGTTTCCTAAGCTGTTGGGTATTTTTGAAGTAGATTTTCTCAAAGGCAGTGACAATCTTTGCATCATGCTTGTGTGCAAAGCTAAAAACAATGAGACTTCACGTGGATCCATTTGTAATAAAAATAATTAGTATTACAAATAAGAGCTATTGCTATAAGGCAATCTGGTTTGCATTGTGAAGTAGTCAGGTTTGTGTCACTGGACCTGACCTTACACAGTTAGGCGATCAAGCAGCTTCTCTCATGGAAATAGCTCGTCATCATTGAAGCAGAAATTTTCTAGTCACTGAAGAAGGGGCTTTCTTCAGTCTTAGTTGCAGCCTATCTAGTAGCTTCAGATATAATTGATCTTTCAGATAAAATAAATAAATAAATAAAGTAACTTCCTGTCTCAAGCTGACAGTATTTGTAAACACATGTTATTCTTATTTGCTAGCAAACATTTAAAATTGTAACCTCTGTGGAAAGTGCTTAGGAAAACTGAGACATTATTATTTTTCTTTAGGCTCCTGACAGATATGCAAGGAAGGCTCAGCTGTTATGCACACTGCCTTATACTGAAAATATACTTTTGTCTGTAAAGATACAGAAAATACATTACATACTCATGCCCAAATAGTTTAAGGCAATAAGGCTGGGAAATCTTTATAACAGCAATACTGTAGTTTATTTATATTTTGTAAGTATACAGATTCCCACTTTCTGGAAACCAGAGATATCTGAAAGGTTCCTCTTAGCATATCCACTGGATTGGCAAGGTGATAGAAATGATCTGTCCTGTATCTGTAGATATTTTTCTAATGAACTAGTAGGTCCAGCATACACTCAGTAAGGTTCTTGATAAAAAGTCTAACCCTCTTTCCATTGCAGAACCATTACAATACATTATGGTACATCTGCTGAAGAACTTGAGGCATGCAAAACACAGTGTCTTACTGCAGCTGCTTATATACTACTCCTAACCATGTTGTGTTCCTTTGGCAAACTCAGTGCTTAAAGAATGCTTTTCTCAGTTGTCTACATCATCTTTGAGTTATTATTTACAGTATTTACTCTTCTACAAAATTTGTGAGGAGATATTTTTGATTCCATTTAGATCATGAAAACTTGTCATGTCTTTAATAGTTAGCTGTCATTGATCACATTTTTTAAAGGAAAAAAATAATAAAAAAAAACTTTGTCAGTGTTTGCATAGGTAAGTTTCTCATCAGCAACTGCAGTATGAGGGTTGCAATATTTTTTCAAGACTATGTCTTTTTCATTACCATTTTCAGATGTATTGTCTAAAATGTTTTCTAATATCTACTGTAACTCTTCCTGCAACCATGTGTATAATCTGTGAACTCTAGTGGACTTGTTAAAGAGAAGCTATTTTGCATAAAGACTAATGAGCCTAGTTCGGTCAGTGATGCACAGAGACACCTTTCACTGAATTTTCTGGAAGCTGATGATGAAGGCCATTGCTCCAGTTATGTTTTCTGTACATAGCAGTGTAAAGCAAACTAATAAAGATTGCTCTTTTCCTTCTGGAGTTTTTCATAATTTATTCTAAAATAAAAGTCAGACGCCAAAACAAACACCCCTCTTTTATGTGCAAAGGAGTTGACAATAGGAAAAAAAAAGAAAAAAGAAAAGGAAATACTGCAGTATATATTTCGCAGATGAAAAAGAAGATACAAAGCAATCAGATGTTTTACCTAAAGCCAAACAAGAAATACATGGCAATATCAGTGACTTAAAAAATACCTCAGAAGCCTCCAGAAGCCAGAATGCTATCACTCCTGCTAGAATGCATGCATCTTTCTGGTACTGTAATGAGTCTCTATCGATGATATATACACCGTTGCAAAATGCCAACCACTAAGGAAAAGGAAAAAGTACTTACCTTGTTGCAGCAAGGTCCATTATACCCTCTTCTGACAAGACTGAAGAGAACAGTTTTCTCTTGTCCCAGGGTACTACAACTGTTGTGTACCACAGAAGTACTCCTCTTATTTCTGGCTTCTTTTGCTATAGAGATAAGAAAAGATCACTGTTCTGGATTGTAAAGATTTGGCTTTGTTTTGCTCTCATTTTCACATGAATTTGGAGTTCACGTCTTTGCAGACACAAGTTTTCAGTCCTCCCCAAAACACTACAAAAGACTCACAAGAATCCCACAAGAGGAGCTGTAATATTTTCCAGCTACAACCTTGTCATGAGTGCTGTACCCAGCATTGGGCTAAATGTGAGAAGTTTGTTCACTCCTACAGACTACGTGCAATGAAAATAATACCTAAATTCTCCTTAGGTAATGCATTAAAGACCTAAAGATATAAAAAAATAGATTAAGAAATGGAGTCCTTGTTCACCTTTACATATCCTTTATTGTATCAACTGCAGGTAAGCTAGGAAGAAAGCAATGCTCTTACAAGTTCTTCTCACTCTTTCCTATTCACCATTTAACTTTTACAGACAAATAAACTTGTAAAACACAAAACAATGCAAAGTTAACTTGATCGAGCGTTTTATCTGCCTTCATTAAACAGACAGTGTTTAAAGAGGGATCCTACTGAGGTGGAAAATGATTTTGATATCACCAGAATACATATGTCTGAACACCCAGGTAGGATTCCATTTTGAAGTTTTACAGAATATTACTACCATGAAAACACTGTAAAGATATATTAGAACAGACAGCAAATGCCCTTTTGGGTGGAAAATACAATGATAATTAATTCATATAAGCCAAAGAATGCAGCATAATTCATCTCATCAACAACCTATTGATAAACATAATGCAAGACTTGAAGTGCCATAATGCACTGTAAAATATAAATGAAAATAAAAATCAGATTTGGAATTATGTAAGAGTTACTGTAATTGCTTAGTATAGAAGCCAGATGCATGTATCTATTGTCAAGGACACACAAATGTATGTAACCTTAACTATTCAATATAGTTCTATTCTATTAAGAACAGAAAAATGAACTGTGTCAACACACAGACAAGCATGGTAAGGTACATAACAAAGCTATGACAGGATGAAAATTTCTAAAGCATTCATAGTTGTCTTTTAAGTTATGAATCAACATTTTCAAACCAATTTTTTCAATCTGTCCATGACTGAAAGCTGACCAAAAGCCTCAACATGTACTGCAAATATTTGTTTTCTTCTGCATAGTGTAAGAGTGCTCCCATGATACACCTTTGACAAACAGCTTGGACAACAACAAAGGCAGAAATTCAAGTGTAAATAGCATGACTGAACAAAATTACACAAAACTTCCTGGGAGGACATTTGCCACAGATTGTTCATGCAAAAGAGGACCAACAGCAAGATTAAATAGCAAGTGACAGATTACAAAAAACTTCTGAAACAAAGAAGAAAGCCTGGAAAAAACTGTAAAAGCATGACTGTTTATGAGAGAAGGCCTTGAAGCTGATGCAGAGGTAGTCAAACTCCAGTTTGTTGCTGTCACAAGGTGTCCCAACAAGCAAACACATCCACTGTGATGGCCTGACAGGGGCACCTGCCTTGTCAGACCCTGTGACAAGCCATGAGAGGGTGAACCCCTAGTACCAAGCAGGGAGCCACACAGGTGGGTGTACAAGACTCAGGGTCAGGTGGAGGGGTCTAAGCCTGTCACTGGGGGCTGAGGGTATTCAAACTTCTGAGGTTAGTTCTACAGGAACATTTAGAAATGTGTGGACATTTGATAATCTTTTGCAAGTGTCTAGTGTAGTGGCTTCTCTGATATTGATCCTGAATGTATAGTTCACTGATTGCCTGTTAATTACATGTCGTTAATTATTCAAAACAGTGCTTCAATCCTGATTTAGTTAAAACTATGTGATCTGAGCAGTGGTTCTTTGTGACACATAGTTCCACATATATCAAGACTTATTTTTTTTCTCCCTATCATTTCAGCTGGACAAAGTCTATATACATAAACTCCTAACAATCCAAATACATATATATACACACATATGTATACATATATACCTACTTTGTCAATTTTCAGTTGGTGATAGGGGCATTTTTTGTGTGCATGATAGCCCACACTTCATAGGAAGACTTTCAAACCTGAGAAGCAGCAATCCCAGAATTCCACCTGCTGCAGACAGTCATATAACTACTTTCTACTTTTTTTTTTTTTTTTTTTTTTTTTTTTTTACAATTTGTTGTTTTCTTTTTTCTTTTTAACCTTTTACAATTTCATCAAAATTATTTAGCTACTCCTCAGAACACTTCCAGGGAAAGTTAAATATCATTAGTACCTCTATTTGCAGTGAGGAATTCACAGAAGTTAAGAGAATAGTCCAGATTCCTGCAAGCGGGGCCTAAATCTGCAGGCAAATGATTTCACCTTTCTGTTGAAAATCTGCCCCTGTTTAACCTCAGGGACTTCTGTGAAATAATTTAACTTTCTTGATCTCACCACCACTGATAAAGGCACAGGGATACTTGATTACCTGCAGCACAGAAGTAAGTACACCTCAACTACCTTCTTTAATCCATACCTGCCAATCAGTCTATTTTGCTGGTTCCCATGCTTGGTGACTGGGTCAATTAGTTACAGAACTTCTTAAAACTGGTCAGGAGAGATGAGTGATGGGAATTATGTGCTAATTTCTAGTTTTTAAAACATTAGGGTGTCTGATTCACAAGGATGATCAACAGGGATGGCTTGCATTGAGGTGGCAGTCCTACTTCAGCTGCCTACAGCAGATCCTCTGGGAAAACTCAGCTGCCTGCATGGCAGCTACTGAATAACCACAAATTACCGCCTGATGTACTGCAGAAAACCAAAGGGCAGTTTTTGGTTTACCTCAATACGCTGTGCTCTGAACCTGTGATACTTCAGCTTTTGCTTGCTGTTGGTCTAACCTCACAGCTCAGTGCATTCTGATTCCGGGAATGAGACTGAACAGTGGGGCAGGAGCTGCTACATTCATCCTACATTATGTGACTTGTTCTTGCGACAGTTTAAGTACCTGAAAATTCCAAATATACCTAGACCTGAAGCTTTTAAAATTGTCACATTTAAATGAAACTTTACATAAGGGAAAAAAATTAAATTCAGAAAAGGTCAGCTGTAATTTGTATTTCATCAGATAAAGTGAATACAAAACATATTTCTCACCTCAACAGCAGTTCTCCACAACAATTCATACCTTGTTATTTTATGACTACAATGTATGCAAGAAAAGCAAAAACTATCATTATTACTTGTTTTCTTTGGATTACTCATTCATTGTTCCCCCAACATCTTATGTAAACCTTTGTTTTTACACGCAACATTTCCTGAACTGATAATTATTTTAGTTACAGTTACATAGTACATTTAACAGAAGCAAATAAAATAATATATTGTAAAAAATGTGAATTATATTCTATATGTCAAGTTGTCAGTTACAAGTGCTTTCCGTACTGCATCTCTTCACACTGTTCTCATGATAGTAAGGCGGGATATCTTGTAGAATTCGAATCCCACAGCACAGTGGCAAAGCCTACTGCTGAATACTGCCATCACAATATAACATTTCACATTTGATTACCAAACTCTAGAAGATAGAGAAAGCATCAACTATGATTTGAAGTCTTAAAAATAAAAGATTTTATAAGCTTAGTATGTTCTTAATGAATTATATCTCACACTGCTGAAACTTTCACACAGTTGGCAGAGGCAAGGGACAGAACAGATCACATGGTTGTCATTCATGCCTACATCCACTAAACAGTCAGAGAGTTCTGGAAACACACATAAGGCATTGTTAATTACTCTATATCACAGCTACTAGTATGGTCTGGTTTACTTTTACATCATTCTAACAGGATGCTAGAGCACACTTGAGAGCCTTTTGAGGTCTTCAGGGGGCTTAGAGCACGCTGTAGAGACCTACAAGGTCACCAGGGGGCCTTAAGGCACACCAGAGGGGACCTGAGAGCATTCCAGGAGGTGCCAGACTTCACTGGGAGGCCCTGGGAGACTCCAGGGCAGTCTTGGAGGCCTCTAGGGCAGTCTAGAGTGCAGTGGGGGTTCTTGGATGTTCTAGGACATCCAGGAGAAGAGTGTGTCCTAGGATGTGCTGAATAGTACAGCAAGACATCCAGGAGGCAGCAGATTACAATAATTAATCCATGGGAAGCCTCTAGACCAACTGAGTGTGCGCTGGAGAGCCCTGGGAGTCCTCCAGAGTGCCCAAGGAGGCTTCTAGGTGGTGGTAGAGCACACTGGAGAGCACTTAGAGGTCTCCAGCGGGCGTTAGAAAACACCAGGGGGCTCTGGGAGAGTTCTAGCTGCTGCTAGAGTATACTGGGAGGCCCTGGAAGATTCTAGGGTCCACTGGGAGGCCTCTAGTGCTCTTAAGAGTGCACTGGGGTCCCTTGGAGGTCTTTAGGGAATTCCACAGCTGATGGAGCATAGTTGGCCTTGAGGAAGTGATATAATGCAATAGGAGGCCCTAGGCGGCTTCCAGAGAATAGAATACACTGAGGGGCTTAGGAGGCATCCAGGTAGCAGTAGAGGTTGCCATGGGCCGTAGGACACCTGCTGGTTATTGTAGAGAGAGTACTGGAGAGTCCAGAGAGGTATCCAAGGGGCACTAGAGTCCAATACGAGGCCCTGCAAGGCCTCCAGATGTGAGAAGGTGACCAAAGGAAGTTGAGGGCTAGCAAAAAGCTTCTGTTGTGAGCACTATTTAATAGAAGTGCGGTGAGTGTTGGGTTAGGGTCATAATTTCTTACTTGCTGTTACATACATAATAATTATGGCAATGAAAGCCAATATATAATATCTAGTAGCACCCTAACCAGCATGCATGTTGCCACCTAATAAGAGAGTCATAGTTACTATACAGTATAGATTTTTGCACGTATATTATAATAATTTAATGTTCTACTGCCCCTTCCTTCTTCAGATTCCAGTTAAATAGAATTTTTACAAGGTTACTGAAAGTAATGGAATGTTTCCACAGAACGCAAAAGACAGCTATAAGCATATGAGAGATGCTGCTAACAATTCAAG